GTGAGGATCAAGTGAGATAATATCTGTACAGTGCTTAGCACAATGCCTGGCACATATTAGGTGCTATATAAATGCGTCTCTCCTTTCACCTCCACTTTCCTGATGAATTGAAGAGTGTGCAGAGTATGGCAACCAGGATTATAGATGAGGAAATTGTAAAATAAGAGGCTCAAACTAAGACAAGCTTTAAGAGCCCTTCCAACTCAATATCCTGCCAATAACCCAACCAATCCAGTAAAAAAAGGTCCATGAAATCTTAGGCTGCATTAAGAAAGACAGCATCCAAAATGAAGGAGAAGATAGTTCCATTGCTCTCTGCCTTGGTCAGGCCACACACAAAGTGTCCTGTTTGATTGTGGGGCGCCATATTCTCAGATGAACACTGGCCAACTAGAGCGTGGTCAGAGGAGATCCATCAGGATCATGTCCTATGAGTACGAGCTGAAGGAAATAAGAATGTTTAACCTGCAGAGAAGACTCAGGGACAATACGATCACCTAATAGCTGTCTTTAAGTTGAGGATTTGAAGGGTTGTCATCTAGAAGAAGTATAAGACTTGTTTTGCAGGGCCCCAGAAAGCAGAACTAGAAACCATGAGTGGAAATTACAAAATGAGATAATATTTGTAAAGTGATTTGCAAATCTTAAAGCACTATAGAAATGCTAGCTATTGTTACAGAAATGCAGATTTCACCTTCACATAATTAGATGAAACCCTCTACAACAATTAGAGTTATCCAAAACAGAATGGGTACTTGTGGAGTTAGTAAAGTCCTAGGATAATGAGACTAAGAGCTAAAAGTGCTTTAATATACTCCGATCTAAAGTCTGAATTTTACAAATGAGGAAACCAAAGCCTAGAAAACTTAAATGATTTGCCTGAAGTTATACCTTAGGTTTTCCAGTGGGAACTGTGAGATGGGTCTGGCTGGGGAAGTGAGGGAGTTAGCCATCCCTAACCTTTGGAATTTTGCCTTACTTCATAGTATGGCCACACAAGGAATGGGGACACTTCCATTGATCAACTCTACTGCTTCACCCCCTCCAGAAGTTTCACTGAATCTGTCTTACCGATAACTCCATTTCCTAGGTGTACATAGTTCAGCCTGCTTTGTTATAAAATCAGAACCATAGAATTCCTTCACGGTAAGGTCCTTTAAGGTCGGATGCTATTGCCAGTGCACTAAGTAGTCAAGGACTTCTATTGCTTATCATAGCCTGGCAGATCTTGACCCTTGACCCATAATAGTTTCAGTCCTTTCCAGGATGGGAAGAAAATTCTGCATGTGTAGGACTATACCTCCCAGTATTCATGTAGATTCAGAGCCTGAATATCCAGTTAACATAAATAACCTCTGAAATTCCAATTCTGATTCTGTTATTTGTTGAGCATTTTTAAGGAATTGGATGCCATGTCCTGATTCAGATACCTATCCCTCCAACGATTTTCAACTGAAACATTCCCATGATAGGAAAAACAGCTCTAAAGAAAAACATCCCACTGACAGTGGGCAATTAGAATTCTTATATGTTTTATGTTAATATGCTTAGTAGGTAAAATAAACAATGTGGCTTCCATGTTATAGTGCAGAATGAGATTTATAATACTGTATCATAACATCTTCAAGTTACCTGATATCTTTAATGTGCACCCTGCATATTCTGGATTGAGATATTGAGATACCGATGAAGAAAAGGTGGCAGTGTACACACAGATGATTCATGCTATGTGGAGGTGGAGCATCCTGAGCTATTGTCAGTTAATAATTACCAGATAGGGCTATGTTCTATTAGGAATAAAAAGTTAAAAAAAAAAAAGGACAATGACCCCCAGTTCATTCACTGAGCAAAGAGCATGACCAGGATCCAAAATTCAACACACATATCTTCCTGTATTTGAGCACAGAGTGCTCTTGAAATGAAGTACCTCTTTCCTCAATTGTTGGTAAATTTTGTGTATTGTTACTGCTGAGAATGTGATGGATGATAGCTGAGTGAGGAAATGCCGTAATTCAATTAAGTCTAAAAAAGCATGAGGAATGGAAAGAAATCTAGAAAGATCTTAATCTGTAAGATAGGGATCATCATGGCACCTACATCCTGGGTAGGTTGTTGTGACGATCTTATAAGAGAACATTTGCAAAATTCTTTGCAAACCTTAAAGTGATACATAAATGCTAGCTATTATTAACATCGTTAATCTTAATTATTAATAACAAGCCTATTTAGAATTAATGTTAATAATAAACCAACTAAATTATTGACAATTAATGTTAATGATCAATATTATATATTATAATTAACATTAAATAGTAATAATAAATAATTCAAAGGAAAAGAAGTAGAACTAGAAGAACAGAGAAAACATGATCATACAGAAAGAAAATAGAGGCTCTGAATGGACAAAGAAAGCTGATAGAAACTTGCCAGGAGCACCTGAGAAGTTGCAACATTTTACAAGTTGGATCTCACAGATTTTCAAATTTGGACATCATCTCAGTAGACAGCAAGAAACCTCTCTGCATCTACTGGCAAAGGAAAGTCATCTAGGCTTTGCCTCAAAACCTCCAATGAAAGGAAACTGACTACCTCTCCAGCCTATTTGGCTTTTGTACAACTCAAATTCTTAGGAAGATTTTGCCTCACATCAAGCCCCTCTCAAAAAAAGCTTAAAAAAAAAGAAAGGTCAGCCTGGCACGAAACCCTGCTGGCTCTTTCCACATAATAAATTCTTGTTTAATTGAACTGAATCATTCTGACACATAGTAGGTGCTTAATAAATGTTTCTTGATTGACTGAAGCTCCCTGCCTTTCCAGAAGTATTTTACACTGCTCCCTTTCTGACTCTCTCCATTCTAGTCAAACCGGTCTACATTGTGTTTTCTTAATAGGTGTAACTGCTAAGCCACTGCCCATGATCTCTCATGCTCCATATTTCATAGAAGTACTGCAGAACTGGAGAAAGGCAAAAGTAGTTCCTGTTAAATAAAAGGAAAGACACACAATCTGCAAACTGTCTTTGATTCCTTGACTTTGATTCCTTGCCAAAGTCTGAATGTATAATTAAAGGAGAGGTGACAAGGGCCTGGACTAGAGTAGCAACCAAGTAAGGAGAAAGAAAGGAATGTGTGTAAAAGATGTTGTGAAAATATAATTGACAAGACTGGGAGCCCAATTAAATATGACAATTGGGAAAGAATGAAAAGATGAGGATGATTATAAGTTTGCAAACCTTCCTTATTGGAGGGATGTTGTCCCAACGGAAAGAAGAAAGTTTGGAGGGGTCTTGGGGGATTTGGTGGGAGAATGGAATGATTTCTGCTTTGGATGTGAGTTTTATATTCCTGCAGGTCTACTAGGTAGAGATATCAGGCAATTGATTAGGATACTAGAATTCAGGAGAGAGATTAGAGCTATATAGATAGATTTAGGGATAAGCTGTTAGAGATAGTAATTGAACCTATGGGAACTGATGAAATCATCAAGAGAGGGGAAGTTAGGGGGCAGCGAGGTGGTATAGTGGATAGAGCACCGGCCCTGGATTCAGAGGACCTGAGTTCAATCCAGCCTTAGACACATAACACTTACTAGCTGTGTGACCCTGGACAAGTCACTTAACCCCATTGACTATCCTTAAAAAAAAAAGAGAGAGAGAGGAAGTTATTTTTAGAGAAGAGGACCTGGGGCTATCTGGCCCTTATGGGGACACCCCCAGTTAAGTTGGCAGGACAAGGATGAATCGTTCAGGCAATCTAAAAATTTCTATCAGCTTTTCTTTTGGTAGAGTGAAAATTCCAGTAAATATCTGGAAAGATGAAATCCATCATCACTACAGAAAAGGACACAAAGAGGGGCTGGCACTTTAAGAGCTCTGGAATTTAGGTTGTGTAGAAAAAATGAAAGAAAACTTTAGAGATCATAGGATGAGTCTGAGCTGTGGTTATGTATATTTACCTTTTCTTGCCTGAGCTACTTTTTTTTTTTTTAACATATTGTCTCCTATAGTCTAGATGTTAGCGCTGCCTATGATCTTGAGTTGGTAGAATAGGTAACGGCACCAGCTCTCAAGGATACCAGAAAATTCACAGCTGGAATTTTATTCCTTTGCCTTCATCAAGGGAAGCATGGCAGAGCTATGGCCCTTCTTAAGATGGAAATACCTCGGAGATAGTTAATGCATTAAGATTAGCATCACTTACATATAAAGTCAGATTGCAGTCAAGTAAACTAATACTTATTAAGTTCCTGACCCTGGGCAATTCGCTTAACTCTGTTTGCCTCAGTTTCCTCATTGGTAAAATAAGCTGGAGAAGAAAATGGCAAATCATTCCAATATCTTTGCCAAGAAAATCCCCCAAAATGGCAATCCGGACAGTTGGACTGACTGAAAAACACCAACAATTACGTGTCAGGTACAGAACTAAGTACTGGGAATAAAAAAAAAAGTCCTCTTCTCCCCCCAAAAAACAACAGTTCCTGCTTTCAGAGAGCTCGTGGTCTAATGCATAAGACAACACACAAACAATTGTGCACAAACAAAATAAATGGGATAACTTGGAGGGAGCCTCAGAGAGAAGGCACTAAAAATTCAGGAGGACTAGCAGACTTCTTGGCAGAAGCTGGGATGTTAGCTGAGACTTGACGGGAGCCAGAGAAGCTCAACGTATAGGGGGATAGGGGGTCACTGTGTCAGGAAATTACAGGTGAGAAAAGCCAAAGGAGAAGAAAATAGGAATATTGACAGTGCCAAAAGTTCTAGAGATATCACTCCAGAATGTTCATAATTCTAGAATATCCTCATTACATTATTGAGTAAAATACCTTTGCTGACCAATTTTATTTCCTCTTCTTTTCACAGCAGAATTGTTCACTTTTAACATTGACCCAGTTGGGGGAAAAGCATCACTAACAGACTGATGACTGTGTTCCAAAGTGTTTGATATAGACACAAAACTGTAATACGCTGTTTTTTGTACCAGGAAATATTGAATTCTCCTTACCTTCAGACAGTTTATTGTATTCAATTCCTTGGGGATGGATGGTTAAGGGCTTCTTAGCCATGTTCTTAAAGTGAACCTTCAAAGTGTCTCCAACTTCAGCAAAAAGAGTAGGTCCAAGAAGTCCTAGGAAGATGAGAAAGTAAGACATAAATGTGTTCAGGACCACCAGACAGATGACATGAACACACACGCTCTAATCGTAACCGCTGTCCTGGCTCTGTTTTATCTTCAATTCAGAATGTTTTACCAGCACTGCCTGCCCTAAGTTAGAAAAGAACTAGCCAGCTAGGTGGTAAGGGGAATAGGGTTTGGGACTTGGAGTCAGAGAGAACTGAGTTCAAATCCTGCCTCAGACACTTACTAGCTGTGTGACACTGGCAGGTCATCCTCTTTTTTGCCTCCAATTTCTCTTCTGCAAAATGGGGATAATAAAAATAACAGCATTCACCTCACTGGTTTGTTGTGAGGATCAAATGTAAGGTGCTTTGCAAACTTTAAGGCACTATGTAGATAATTTTGTTGTTGTTCAGCCATTTTTTCAGTCATCTCCAACTCTGAGTGACCCCATATGGGACTTTCTTGGCAAAGATATTGGAGCGGTTTGCCATTTCCTCTTCCTGCTCATTTTATACATGAGGAAATTGAGGCAAACAGGGTTCAGTGACTTGCCCAGGATCACACAGCTAGTAAGAGTCTGAGGCCAGATTTGAACTCATGAAGTTGAGTCTTTCCTGGTTCCAGGCCAGGTGTTCTATCCACTGCATCACCTATAAATGCTAGATATTGGTATTATTCATAGGAAAGTAGAGATGTTTGGCCTGGGTCACACAGCAAGTCAAAGCAAGGCTAGAATAGTACCCTTTTAGACTCAGAAAACGTTTCGTATCTGGGATTTTTTAAACTATAAAATGAATTCCAGAAGTGTTTTCCATAGAAAATACTTCTGAGATTTTAAAAAAAGGCAGGTGGGAAAATGCTCCCCATTGTTGAGTAGCTAGGAGGGTAAGGAGTGAAATATCTGCCTTTCACTGACTATTTGTTGAGCAAGATTTTTCAGACTGTGATCCATAGGATGAGGAGATTTTAGAGATCTTTTTTTTTCCAAATGAGGAAACTGATACCTAGAGAGGTCAAAAAAGTTACTCAAGTTCACACAGCTAATTAATGGCATATCATACGATCATAAGAAGTCTTAGTGATCATATAGCTCAACACTCCCACCCATTTTGCAGATGAAGAAACTGAGGTCTGGGAATGGCTGAGTGATTTGCCTAAGGTCATAAAAGTAGTACATGAAGTCAAGATTTGAACCCATGACCCCTGATTACAAATTTAACACTTTCTGTACTCCATCAGGAACTCAGACCTAGTTCTTTTGACTCTTAGTCCAATTTTTTTTTTACATATGTCCCATTCATAAGTCAACAAGCAGCAAACTTTTATTAAGTGTTTACTATGTGTCAGGCACTACATTAAGTATGCACTGGAGATACTAAGAAAGGGTAAAGGTAAAAATAGTATCTTCCCCCAGGGAGCAAGCTAACAGGGCAGGCAATGTAAAAGCCACAATGTACAAACAAGATCTATACAGGAAAGCATGGAAATAATCTCAGAGACAAGGTACTAACATTAAGAGAGATTGGGAATAACTTTAGAATAGCTAGCAATTTTACTATATATTTTTTAAAGTGAAGCCAACAACTTTTAAAATTTAAAGGCATAGCCTTATTAAAAAAAATTTTTTTTTAAGCATGGCCTAGTAGTAGAAAGCTGGCCTTGAAGTCATGAATACCAGGGTTCTTATCCTATCTCTGACACACATTGGCAATGGGACTCTGGGCACCCAGAAATCAGTGACCCAGCCAACTCTCTTGGACTGTTAATTGCATGAAAGGCATCAGCCTACGTTAGTAGAATGAGTTTTCTCACCTAGAGTCCCCCATACCAATGATATCACAGGTCTAATCCCCATCCCTGTGGTTATTTTCTATTTTTTATGAAGTTGGTGGCTACTATAGTGCTGTTAGGGGGCTGAAAACTTTTAGTTAGCAAGCACTACAGTTGATCAGAGGATCACTCCCCATCTCATCTAGCTGGTACCAAATGCCCATTTTGTGCCTATCAGGCTTAGACCAGCTCCATAGGATTGGCTTCTATCCCACAGAGACCATAGAAAAACCCAGAAGAGGCAGCTGATTTCAGTGACTATACTGGGGCTTTGGGAGAAAAACATTAAGATAGCCCTTTACAAAACACGTTCTCCACAATCACTCTGTAACACAGGTAGTGCAACTATCATGCCCATCTTGCCGACAGAAAACAGCCTGAGAATTAAAGTGACCTTGTCCAAGGTCACACAGGTAAGAGCTGTCCGAGGTCTCTTGCCTCCGAGTCTAGCATTCACCATGCTGCCTCATAGATGCTGGCTTCTATTTGGGCTGCTGCTTGCCTCTCTTATTGGCTTTCTACCTTCTCAAGCTACCCTTCTCTTGAACCATCTTTCTGATCTCCTGCTGCCTCTCTATGCTATAGCTGATATCATTCCAAGTTCTGGTATTGTATTTGTCCTTCCCCACTCCCCATCCCCATCCCCCGACCCCCAAAATTGTTGCTAATTCCTGGTCTCTCATTGTTCTCCTAAGAGACCATATAGCCTGTAGATTATAAACTCCTTGAGGTCAGGGAAGGGCAGCTAAGTTGTGAAGTGGATAGAGCACTGGGTTTAGAACCAGAAAGACTCTTCTTCATGAGTTCAGATCTGTAGACCCTGGGAAAATCACTCAACCCTGTTTGCCTCAGTTTCTCATCTGTAAAATGAGCTGGAAAAGAAAATGGCAAATCACTCCAATATCTTGGCCAAGAAAACCCCAAAATGGCATCACAAGGAGTCTGATATAATAGAAATGACTCAACAACAACAACAGATGAGGTCGGGGACTCCTTTTGGTTCTGCCTTTGCACATAATAGGAATTTAATAAATACTTATTGGATTGTTTCAGCATTGGGACATTCTTTACATTTATATCACTAGTACCTTGCACATAGCAGGAGTTTAATTAATGCTTATTGGATTGTTTCAGCATTGGGGCATTCTTCATCTTTGTACCCACTGCCTTTAGCCACTGTGTATATACATACATACACACACACACACACACACACACACATATAATGTATTATATATATATTATATATCTATTTCATATATAATATAATATATATTGTATATCTATTCTATATAATATAATTATATAATATATATTATATATCTATTTCATATATAATATATAGTATATCTATTATATATATATAATATAATTATATAATATATAATATATTAGGTATCTATTTCATACACACACACACACACACACACACACACACACACACACACACACACCCCTACATACACCACTTTATACCACCTGCATATAGCAGGAGTTTAATTGATGCTTGTTGGACTCACTTGAGATCTCTCTTGACCTACTGCTCCATACCCTAATATCTACAACCTTTGCTTCCCATGCCCTGGGGCTTACACTGAAGCAAATTTCTTGCCAGCTAAAGTATTTGTTGTACTCTTAGAGTTCCATCCCCTGTAGTGAGGGGTGCTTAATCACCATGGTATTGTTGGCTGGTGTCTATGTGTGATCATAAAGCTGGAAAATCAGCTCATTCACAGCAAATCTCCCAGTCACCCGCTTCATGAAGATCCCTTACTCAAATGTTAGGTTTGACTATCTCCCTCAGCCTCTTAATTAAAACAAACCAAGGAAGTTTCTCTTCTCATACGGTGTGTGTCCCTGATCATAGAGAGGGCAATCGTACTCCTAAGAGATGTTTGTGCTGTGGATAAGCTACTTAATTAGTTTTCTGATTTTTAAGACCTTTCTTCACTGCCTTTTTCTTCCATCCTCTTCTTTTCTTCCTCCCTTCCATCAGTCAATAAACGAGCATTTATAAAGTGATTACCGTGCTCAGGCACAGGGCTAAGTGTTGGGAAAACAAAGCAAAAGCATCCCCTACTCTCAAGGAGTTTTATTTTCATGGAGAACACAACTTGCAAATAAATAGAAACATACAACAAAGATACAGAGCGGTTAAAAGGGGAAACCTTAGCAGGAAAGGCACTAAAGTTGGGGGCTAAGCAGCAAGGTGATTAGAAAGGCCTCCAGTAGGAAAGGAGACTGGTTGCAAAATTTCAATTCAACAAGCATTTATTAAGCACCTACTACAAGGCTCTCTGACAAGCCTTGGGGAAAGGGGATTGTACAAAAACAAAAAAAAAAGAGAAATAATTCTTGCCCTCAGGAAGTTTATAGCCTAATGAACACCTACTCCAAATATTTAATTTCAGAGTCATGGAGTTAGAAGGTGGATCAATAAGCTAGTCTATTCTTGTTTCGAGAGAGTGGAGACCTTAAATAATACAAGGCAAACTACTTTTTGTGCTTCCACAAAACCTCCTCCATCCATGAGTATTTCATGACTCCTTTAATAGCATGTAGAAGCAAAGCTTTTCAGCCCAAACTAAGTTCCCTGGACCCTACACATATCTCTACCCCAATGAACCCTTTCAAGGCATGCACCCCCAAATTTGTAAATATTCCCCATGGTGTGGGATAGTGAAAAGAGCCTTATACCAAGGGTCTGAGGACCTGGGACATAGTCCTGACTGCCCCGAATTTCCATATCTCTAGAATGAAATGATTGTACTAAAGTGCCATTGCAACTCTACGAACCTATGAATGAACTCTGCCATTCAATTTACACCCCACCTACACCAAGCCAAAAGTTTGTGGAGGTCAGGCAGGGATGTTCTGGTAAATGTTTAATAACCAGCCCTCTAAAGAAAAACAAAATCTAAACAGGACAAACTTTTAAGTTTAATTGGAATTACTAGCATTTTTTCCCTCACTGTCCTCCCTCCAATCCCTCAGGCTCACACCCTAGATGTCATCCTCAATTCCTTGCTGTCACTCCCCCCTATATCCAATCTATTGCCAATGTCTGTTGATTTTACCTTTGTCAGCATTCTCATATATTCCCCCTTTTCTTCTCTAATACAATCCTGCCCAACCCAATACACACACACTTGTCCTTACTTCTGGACTATTGAAATCATCTGATGGTTGGTCTGCCCAGCACAAGTCTCTCCCTATTCTAGTCTATCCTCCACTCAGTCACTAAATTGATTTCCCTAACATTCAGGTGACATCATGTCACCTCCCCCTCCCCCCCAACTTGATGTACTGTATAAGCTAGCTCCAGCTAGGTCTCCATTAATACAAGTAGATTCTATTCTTGACAGATGTGGGAACTCTGAAGCCCAAATTATCCACTGATTGCTTGGGGCTTTGATGGATCTGTCATCTCATCAATGAAATTACTCCCTCCACTCATGCTGATTGCAATGCATCCAAGCATTGTAAATCATGTCCATGTCCTCCTGTAAATCTGCAGGATGGTCTAGCCAGTGTGTCCAGGGCCTTCCTCTAGTGCTTACATTGACAAAAGAGCCCAAGGCTGTCTATCAGTTTAACCTTCTCCTAGATGTTTAGCTTTGTAACTTTTTATCTGAGACTCACCTGAAATGTTCAATCTTGGTTTTTCTTGTGTGAAACCTGCTTCATACTCTCTGTAGACCATTTTCTTAAAGGTAGGCTCTGAGGGCTTTAAACTAGGCATGAAACACAAAAGTCCTGTTTAAAAGCTAGTCTATGGATAGAGTTTTATTATTCAAGACCTCTTTTGCATTAACTTAGGATATTTTTCCTTAATTTTTTTCATTTCATTTTTACTTTTTTTTTTTCAATTCAGCAAACATTTGCTCCTATTGTGTTTCAGGAAGTGTTCTAGGTTCTGGAGATGAAAAGATAAAAATGACACAGTTCTTGCCTCCAAGGAATGAGTTGGGTGGAAAGGGAGGGGTTCTATATAAAAGATGTAGGTTGATAAGCATTGGACAAGATGAGGAGTGAGAGATAAAGAACTAGAGGAGATTCCCAAAGCATAATGTGGTGTTATAAATACAACCAGAATGGTAAAGGGCCTTCAGATCATACCTAAGAGGTTCTTTTAAAAGGATTGAGTGTGTTTAGCCAGAAGAGAAGATTTATGAAGAGACTTGTAGCTGTTTTCAAGTATAGTACTTGAAAGGCTCTCCTAGGGAAGAGTGATTGTACTGGTTCAGCTTGGCCCCAGGAGGCATGACTAGAAGTAGGGGGAAATAGGCTTGCACGTCAGAAAAGCTTAACAATTCGAGTTATTCCAAAGCAGAATGGGCAGTCAGGCAGTCTTGGAGCAAAAGTGGATAGCTAATTGGTGAGTATGTTGCTGGGGGCAGATTAATTTTCAGGTATGATTTGGATGACTTGGACTATGGTTCTTTCCAACTCTTAAATTATGTAGTTTTCTGAAGTAATTGAATAAGCCTTATTTTCATTTTAAAAATTACCTTAGGACAAAAAACAAACAAACAAACAAACATATAATATTTTGTTTCCAAAGGTCATTTGGGTCCTGTTAGTGTTAAGTGAAAGAAAAGTCTCTAACATGTTCATTCTCTTGAACTAAACTTTGGGGAAAGAGTTGAAACTATTATGATTTCTCTCTAAAAATTATCTTGTGTGGTAGTTTTAGTCGTGTCCAACTCTTTGTTGACCCCATTTGGGATTTTCTTGGCAAACATACTGGAGTATTTTGCCATTTCCTTCTCCAAAATTACCTATCTACTTGAAAAGTCACATATAGTTTCTCCAACTGAGAATTTTATATTTTGGCTATAATGGAAGGACATTTAGGCTGTTTTCCCAATTTAATGAACCAGGTTTTCCAACAAATTCTTTCCAGCAAAGGAACCTGAGTGGCCTGACCATCTTGGGACTTTCTTCATTCTTGCCACAGGTTTTAAGGGGCGTCTCTAACTGAGGTATCCATGAAAACTCTTCCTAGGACTATGGTGGAAGTCCGTTAGAAGACAGGGGTCAGAGGACAGAACTCGCAACCCCCTCACATGCTAACCATGTCATATCAGAAATTGAGTTGGTCTCTGCTGAGAATTTTCATGACAGTTAGGTTATTAACTAGGCTTGAATTCAGTGTAAACAAGACAAACCAGCAACTAAATTAGTTTCCTCTAGATAAGCAGGAAAGCATGATTGTTTTCTTTGAATCTTCTATTAATAGCAGGGCCCTTAATGTATTAGTATAAAAGTAGATTATCACCTTATACTTCAATTCAATCCCATTAACATTCATTTAATACAATTAAAAAGTCTAAGCAGAGAATTTTAGTCATTCAAACACAAACTAGTAATTTTGTAATCTAAAGGGCTCTCAGAAAATTTTGACATATCTTGGCAGATAGCTCTGATTTTGCAACTCTGAAAGAGGAACATGTCTTTCCCAATCACCCGAGCTGTGGTTTCAGGTTTAAATAAATATAATATTCCCATTGGTCCAATTTTAAAATACAGACAAGCACAGTTCATTGGAATCTTCGTCTATTATAGGTTTGCTTTTTGATTCCAACTATTCCAGAGAAGTTCCTTTCACCTTTGAATGTCTCTAAGTTGTGAGACCAGTTTGAAAAGCAAACATAATCCTCAGATTTAATTCAAAGCCCTCTCATTTATATCTGCATTTTAGCCAAGATTTGACTAATAAAATGGCCAGTCTAAGTAGGACAGTTCTCTCTCATAGGCACGTAGATGCTAAAGATAGTTACAGAAGGGGAAGAAACATACCCAAGTAGCTTTGATGAGGTAGACTTAAAGAAACATAACATAATAGATTTATTGCTTTTTTTCCCACAGTAATTTCTTTGGCACCACACATAAATCAGAAATCAAAAGATGATCACAAGCAATTTGGATTTGCATCTTAAAGTCTGCATCTGGACTTTTTAGAACATGAAGATAATAAATTCATAGAGTTCGTTCTGGGAGGGATGCACCTTAAAGGTCATCTAGTTCACCTTTTTCATTTTAAAAATGAGATGAAAAAGTCTCAGAGAGGATGTGACTGCCCAAGGTCACACAGATAGTAATTGTCAAAGACAGGATTTGAATCTAAATCTTTCAATTCCCAAGGCAGTGCTTTTTCTACTACGTCACACTAGCTCTTGAGATCTATGCATAATAATGCACACAAAATGTAAATAACTTTTAGAAGCAGTCAAATAGGCAGGAATAATTTTTACTTTGACAATTCAAAGAAGAATGTTGACAATATGTTTAGCTAGAATAGTTTGTGCTTAATATTTTGTACTTCTCCCATATTAATTTAGAAATTGAATTCACTAATAAAAGGACATTTGCTGCAAGCACAAAGATCATCAAACTTAATCATTAAGTGCTCCCCAAGTAATAAAATGCACAGAGGAATGATACCGCATTGCGGCCGGGATGTTGCATCATATCCTATTAATTGCAGTGGAAAAGAAGGAATAGTCAGATCTAGTGTGAGCTGTCCCAAGGAAAGAGTCTGTTTCCCAGAGAGACAATGAGGCAAACCTCCTGTTATCTTCTCTTCTGACTTCACTCCCCCATTCCTCCCAGTCTTGAATTACCTTGGGTTGTTGGTCTTAGGGCGGTAGGTCCAGTTGATGATCTGAGCAGCTATATGGCGATGTCGGACAGCTGCTTCAGCTACTTGCTGCCGCAAGCCCAGCCACCCGATACCCAGGACCACAAGGACCCAGAGGCTTGGGTGGCCTGGAGACATGGTTTCCACTCCTGCCAACAGCAGCCCCAGAAGCTGCTGGGGCAGGCACCTTGGTGTTGCTGATCTCTAGGGAGGGTACAGTCTGGGCTACAGTGAGCTCTTAGAGGCTGTGGGTAGTAGTGTCCTCCCTTTGAAGGTTCTGTCAGAAGTCACAGCAGCCACTGAAAAGCCCTCCCCCTTCTTTGGGGCTTACAGGCATTGAGGGAGGCTGCCTCCACTGGACAGGTGGTTGGCTGGCTCACTGCCCAGTGGGACAGTCAGGTGTGAAGGGTAGCAGCTAGTCTCCCTGTCTCTTCTTATTGCAGGAAACAGTGAGAAAAAGGGCGGGAGAGCCCAGTCTCCAGGCAGGGAAATGGCCAGCAATTCTTGAGCCAGTGAGAGGACTGTATTTCTTAGTCTCCCAATCCCAGAGCACCACTTAAGCTAATAAAACCTTCCCCTTCCCGCCCCTTCCCTCATGCCAAAAACTTGCCTGTGTCAAAGTTCACTCTTCATGGAACTCTAGCTGGAGCTCATACAAAGACCCAGCTCTTCCCTTGGTACTTCTCTTTCTGCGATTATCCTGAAGGGAAATTTCTCACATGCTTCAAACTACAACATGGTCACTATCATTTCAGATTGGGAGGCCACATCATGTCTTGTAAATAGCTCGAGGTTAGAGGTGGAGAGTCCAAGATTCAGTCTCAGTTTCATTTGTTTATTCATCTTGGGCAATTCAACCTCTCTGTGCCTCAGTTTCTCAATGTGTAAACAACTACTTCAGGGATCTATTATTTCATCAGCGTAGTGCTCCTTTTTCAGGGTGCAAATCTGAATCCACTTGTGCTTCTCATCTTGTGCAATTCTTTGTCCATGACTTCCTGTTTTTCTTACGTAGAAGGTAGTTCACATTTACGTAGCCCTTTGAGGATCAAAAAGTGTTTTCCTCACAGGAAAGAAATGTAAATATCATTATCCCCATTTCATAGATCAGGAGCTTAGTACCCTGGGAGGTTAACTGATTTGTGTGCCTTTGGTCACTCAGGTAATAAGTAACTGGGATATGAACCCAGGTCTCTTTACCAGGGCCAGTGCCTTTCCGTAATCCCACGCTATTTCTCTTGAGTATTTATCCAATGTGCTGGAAGCCTTTCTCTCTTTCTCCTTAATATTTTATAGAAATAAACTCAACACTTAGATTGTCCTTCTGTCATCTCCCACAACATGACCAGCTCATCCCCATTTCCAATCATGCATATCCTTGAAGAGACCTTCCATGCCATTTATCCCATGAAATTCATCACTGGTAACAATCTGCAGGGTGAAAGCAGTGTTTGCCACAGAGAAAAGAGCTCTGGATTAGGAGTCAGTGGTGTGTGTGTGAATCCTGGCTCTTTTGCCGATACACATGTGATCCTGGGTATCCTTTCCATCTTTTGGCACTCACAGAAGGTACGTACCCCTGGCCTTTCTCTCCAGCGCTCAAGGTTCCTTCTCATCTCCTCTGGCACACAGAGGCCAGAGATATAATAGGCACAATCTTTGCTCTTCTCACTTTCAGGTCCTCTTTCTCACTCAGCAAACTTTTCTCTTTTGAGGTTCCCTCTATCCATCTAGATCACCCTGTCCAGATATTGGCTGTATATATAATCTATAGGCCTTTACATTATTTCCCCCTCTTAAGCAACTTGGAATCTGGCTTACAGACTTCTTCTGTATCCTAGCCTCTGCCCTTATGCTTAAGGACTCCAGGACGCAGACTGATGTCTCTTTAAATGCCAGTACACATGGCTTCTCAGTTTATTAATCCTCCTGAATACTCAAAACTTATATCTTCACTCCAACTTTTTCACTCATAAGGATGATAATACCCTCAATATCACCATCATCCATAATTATGCTGCCTCCATGATACCAAACTCTAAAATTCTTTTCTTCCATCATGGCCTCCTATCCTTCCATTTTCCTTTTACTTCACTCCTCCTAAATCTAATCCTAGATTCTCACCTAGCTCTTCAATTCCTCTACCTCTGCCTTTTCTTCCCATCCATCTCCCCTTCTTTGGCCCCATTTTCCTTTCTTTCCAGGTCTGGACCCCGTCGTTGACCAGCTTAACTCTACACCAGTCTCTTCCCTTTAATTTTTTGTGCCCTTAACCAGTGACTACACATGCCTTATAAAATGCATGCCTTCAGTCACTCCCACCATCTGCATTCTCCTCCCCTCTGAATGCTATCTTCTCCACTAGAGAAAGTGGCACAATGCTGGAGACTGGTTCAACTACAATATATGTTATCTAATCTCAACTGGGTCCTCACAGATGCATGATAATCCTGTTATTCCTTCCTGAATGAATCTCTACCTGTAGCCCATTTTTCAGATTGGCCATTCTATTTTGGGAATGAGGGGGAATTCTTTTCCCTCCTCAAAATCCTACAGTATCCTTCACCTTTCCCCCCCTGGAGAGAGCCTTGCCTGCTATTTGGCTAAAAGATTTGAGGGAGAACATTTCTCATGAACTCTTTTCTCCCCGGTCTATACCTCTAGATCTTTCTATATCATCCTCCATCATCCTTCTGTTATTCCAAGGCTCTGATGAAGTAGCTCTCCTCATCCAGACCAACTCTTTTACTTTGTGTCTTCGATCTCATCTACTCCTGCTTCTTCTAAGAATATGTTGCCTCCATCTGATTTTTCTCTCATTTCTAGAGAAATACTTATAAACAGGTTCAGGTCTTCTCTATCCTTAAAAATCCTGCACTTGACCCTAATATCCCTTTAAGCTAAGATCTAATATTTCTTTTTCACAGCCAAATTCTTAGAGTCACCTCTACTTGTTGCCACAATTTCACCACCTTCCACTCTCTTCAGACAGAAAGCAAATGCCTTCTGCTCTGACCACTCAACTGAAACCACTTTCACCAAGGTTATCAACCTATTTAAAACAGCTAGATCCATGGCCTCATCTAAATCCTGAACCTTCTTGACCTCCCTATAGATTTTGTTTTGTTGATCTCTTCCTCTTCCTAGATGCTCTTATCTTTTGGTCTTCAAGATACTATGGTGTCCTGGTCCCTCTACTCACCATATGACCATTCCTCAGTTTCCTTTGTAGGTTCATGAACCATCTCTTGATTCCTAACTGTAGCTATTTTCCCTTAGATTATCTTCTCTCTTTTTTGCATCTTAGTGATATCAGCAGCTAAGTAACACAGTGGATAGAGCACTGGCCCTAGAGTCAGGAAGACTGGAGTTCAAATCCAGCCTCAGACACTCACTAGTTCTGTGACCCTGGGCAAGTCACTTAACTTCTGTTTGCCTTAATTCACTGAAGGAGGAAATAGCAAACCACTCCAATATCTTTGTCAAGAAAACTCCATACGGGGGTCGGGGGCCACAAGAGTTAGACGTGACTGAACAACAAACAATGCAGTGATCTCACCCATCCCTATGTATTTGTGGCTGTTGAGTTGTTTCCGTGGTGCCCAACTCTCCATGACTCCATTTGGGGGTTTCTTGACAAAGATACTGGAGTGGTTTACCATTTCCTTCTCCAGCTCATTTGACAGATAAGGAGCTGAGGCAAAGAGTGTTATGTGACTTGCCCAAGATCACATAGCTAGTAAGTATCTAAGGCTAAATTTGAACTCGGGTCCTCCTGACTTCAGGGATGGTGCTCTATCCCGATGTACCACCTAGCTGCCCCTCCTGTGGGTTTAATTATCTACAAATATGACTCATGAATCGATACATCTACCTTTAATCTCTTTCCTGAACACCAGTCCTGTTAACTTTTTGCTGGACATTTCTACTTACATGCTCTGTAATAATTTAAAATTCAACATGTCTACAATGGAGCTCCCAAAGTTTCCTCCCCACCCTTGACTGTTTGATGAACTTCCTATCTCTGTTGCAGACACCACCATCCTTTTGATCGCTAGTTTTGCCATCTTGAATGATCCTTGACTTTTCCATACTTCTTCACACCCTATATCCACATTTTTGTCAAGTCTTGTTGATTCTACCGCCACAACATCTCTTGAATCCTTCCCTTTATCTCTGTACCCTATTTCAGGCCCTCCTCACATTTTGTCTAGACTATTGGAACAGCATCCCAATTGCTCTCCCAGTTTCTAATCTCTCTCTTCTCCAAAACACCTTCCACAGAGCTGTCAAAATAATCTTCCTGATTGCCATGCGGACTCCCCGCCATGAACTCTCTTAACTGATTCTCCACCTGCCACCTTGTGGACATGCTTTTGGGTAAGAACTCACTACATCTAACTGACCTCAGGCTGCCTCCCTTTTCCACCACAGTACAATCTTTCCCTCCCACCCTCCCTCAACTCTTATCTCATGCTCTGGGAGCAGTAATCAAATCAACATCACCATTGCTTCTAGAAAGGGCACATCATTCTATTCACTTATGGATCCACTCACCATCCTTGTAACTTCACACTTCCTCTGCCATTGCTTCTGTTGTCTCCGCTATTAGAATGCAACCTTCCCCAATGGCTCAGTCTGGCTCTCTTTTGTATTTCAATTCCTTTCCTTAGAACTGACTTTTTATATTTATTAAAATACTTTTATTTTGTAAATATTTTATAAAATATTTATTCTCTTATGTTTATAGAAAAATTTTTAGAAATTTCTATATTTACAATTCTAAATTTATAGAAAAAATTTATTAAAAAATTTGTCCATTCATTCATACAATTCCTTTAATTTCTGAACCACCATGTCACTTTCCTAATAAAATTCTTCAGTGATGACTGGGAGATTAAGCAATTTGTCCAGACTCATACAGATAGTATATGTTGGAAGTTAACACTTGAACATAGATCTTCTCAATGCCAAGGCAGATTCACCATTAGCCCACACTTTCATTGTGGCTCTTACTTCCAGGAAATCAGGGAGTAAGAAGGGCAATTCTATGATGTGCACATTTCATCATTTTATTTATATTTTTGAAGTAGATTAACTTGGTGTTAAATTAGGCAGATTCTTTCCACCCTTTCTCACCTTGGAAAATATGATCAGTTACCAAGAATTCAGTCTTTCACTTCATTTGTCTTTTCCACTGGTAAGATTAGCACAATTCCCATCCAACCTTCTATCCACATCAAGTAAAAGATATCCATAAATCCTACATTGCCTGATCCTATCTCTCACCCAACTATTCTGGCTGCCCTGGGCTTATTTTAGTCATGTAGAAAATCCGTATTTACACCTCTGGATGACCTTTGGCAAATCACTCCACTTCTCAGCCTTAATTTTCTCATCCTTAAAATAAGGAGATTAGACTAGATGACCTTCAAGGTCTCTTTAGGCTTTAGGAATGTGATT